CTGCTGAAGAGCTCACCAGGTTTGTGGGGTGGAACCATTCACAGCACAGGCACCTCCTTCAGCAGAGTGGTTAGTGATGGGCAGTCAGATTTCTATTCCAATTGCTGCAGCAGCTTTTTCAAAACTTCTCTATCCTCAGACTTCCTAGTCCACTCTCTTCTCACAGAGCTGAACCTTGACTTCTTTCATTAAAAATGAGAAGCCATTAGAAGAGCATTCCCTTGGGGCCAGCAGGCGTTGTGGAGGTTAAGACACTGGAGCCCATATGGCTGACTTTTCAGTTCAAGTCCCAGATCCTATGGCTTGAAAAACATGCCAGATGCATGTGCATGAGTGCCCAAAATCCTGAGAAGAGAATGGAGGAGAAAGGATTGCAGTATGGCCATCTCTCCCTGGTAAGTGATTTCTCACTTTACCTCTCTCTCTCTGGTGAGCACACACATCCTACAGCAAAAGAGGAGGAGGAAGAGGAGGAGGAGGAGGAGGTTTCCTCAACTTCTTGACACATTGTGCACAAACTCCTCTCTGTTTTTGAATCCCACCTCTGCACCCTGTGGGGAGACCCTTGTCATGGCTGAGAGGAGCCTTAGGACTTGTGATAACTAAACATAACACAGTATCCTGGATGGAATACTGGAGCAGAAAAAGAACATTATATGAAAACAAGGAATCTGAATAAACTACAGACATTAGTCAATTATAATATATCCAAAGTTGTCATTTTGGCTTCTCACTTGCAACAGATGCACCATAATAATGTAAGATGTTAATAGCGGGCACTGTGTGGAGGTGGGCCAGGTGTGCTGTATGGAAACTTTGTAACATCTGCTCAATTTTTCTGTAAATGTATAACTATTTTCCATTTCAGGTGTGCCTGGCACTACAGGCTACAAAAAGGCATCATTATGACGTGGCATGCTCATGTCTTGGCTCCACTTCCAGGAAGTCACCTCCACACAAAGACACTGGATGTTCCTGGCTTACATTTGACAGTGTGCTGCTCTCGGCAGACAGAGAGCTGCCCATGTCAGAGTTCTCATATAAGCCCCAAGTAGGTTTCTCTTTGTCCTGGTTGGGTTCTGTGGTAGACCAGAAGTACCTGTGGGGACCATGGGATGACAGGCTCTAATTAGCCATGACTGGTCTCCCACAGCCTCTGGGGTCAGAGGTGGGGTCTACCTGACCATAAGACATGGACCTGGATAAAGATGTGACCACAAACTAGGCATGGGGAAGGGGTGTCCCCCTAAGTAAACCAGGACACTGGGTGCAAAACAGAAATAGCCAACACACACCTCAGTCTTGACTTGATGTCTGTCCCCTGATGCAGGGAGCTAATATTTTCTTTCTTTCTCTCTCTCTCTCTCTCCTTTCTCTTTTTTAAGTTTTTCTATAAGGTACATGCACTGGAAAGAGAGAGAGAGAAAGCAAAAATCACCCACTGAGAGGATGGCCACATGCAATCCCTTCTCCTCCATTCTCCTTTCAGGATTTTGGCCACACATGTTCAGTGTGTGTTTTTAAGCCACCTGTGTTGGGACTTGAACTGCACCATCGGCCATGTGGGATTCAGCTGCCTTAACCACCAGGCCACCGACTGGCTTCCCTTCACATGGCATTTTATGTTACCCCCATATGTCAGAACTGACCATGTACTCATGCCTACCTTTAAGGATAACTTATTTTGACTCTTCTAATGAGAAAACTGAATTCTTCCTCAGGACCCCATTTTTAAAAATCATCTAGTTTTCATTTTTTATCTTGGAAGTCCTCTCTTACAGAGTAGACAGGTCTGATCTCATTTCTCTCAGCTCCCAACTTGTTGCCAGTTCTTTTTCTCCACAAGCCAAGGTTATGATGCTCATCTCCAACTGGCCCTTGAGTTCTTCATGCTGGGAAAGTGTTCCTTCCATCTGAGCCTCCTCCATGATTTGTACCCCGTGAGGTGTCTACTCAGTCCTACCGGCCCATGGTAAGGCAAGGCTTCCTTCGCACTATGCAGGGTTCTCAGGCGGCCCACACCCTCTCACACGCAGTTGATGAGTTGGGTACGGGGTGGATGTATCACTGTTTGCAAGAAGCCCCTTGAGAGTAAGTTCCTGCTTTCTGCTCACTTAGAGCTGCCGCCATGCCCCTTTCCTCTGATTTGGGTGCCTTGAGCCTCCCTCAAAGATGTAGTGGCAATTAAGTAAATGCAAAGCTTTAAATGGAAATTTGGCTGTTTTCCAGGAAACATGCTATTTTTCAGCATGGCTGACTCCTCTTCAGGAAGTGATTGCGAAGGGAAGAAAGCTTCTTAGTTCTTTCCTCCACTCAAACCGCCTCCTCCAGTAGCCCCACATCAGCCATGTCTGGGAGTCAATGTTTCCAGAAGTTCCTGAGAACCTCTATTCGATTGTCCATCCACATCAGTCAGGAAGTCCTGAAGGAGGCCACCTGGCCAGAGTGTCCAATCAAGGGGCTTCTCTAGTATCCAGCCCCTGTTCACAGCACCCTGATTTCTTTTTGTGGAAACCTCCCTTTTCACCCAGTCTCAGTTCACACAGTTGGGTCCTTTGCTGGGTCCTGGGGCGGGGGGGCGGGGGACATGTGACTCAGACCCAGCCTAGGAGGGCACGCCGTATTTGAAGCAGCGAAGAGTTACACGCCTCCTGGGTGGTGGAACTAGACCACAGACTCCTACTGGAGTCGTCAAGAACAAGGCTGCTTTTACTGGGATTGCTGAGCTGGTAGGAATCAAACTGGTGATGCTGCTGGCCATTATGGCCACCACTGAGCAGCCCTGCTTGAGGGCGATGGCCATAAACAACGCTCCTGCCAACACCTTTCAGCCCCTAGATTCAGCCATGCCTGAAGTCGTCATACCTAACCTTGTTTCTTCTGTTGAGTCCCCCCCACCCCACCCCCACACCACTTTTTGGGTTACATCAGTTTAAGCTGTGTAACTTTCACCTGGAATGGAAAGAGTCCTGGCTAGAACAGGGACCCACAGCCTTGTCATCACTCCAGGGCTGCAGCCTGACATTCTGGTTCTTTTGTCATCAGCCTCAGCTCTGGGCCTTAGTGCCTCTGTAGGTAGCACATTTTCACACACCCTCCTTTGAATAAAAAAATAGCATCTGTTTTATTTTTAGTAAAAAATAACTCTGAACAACACATAAGACAAGAGGCAGAGCAGGAACCAGTGCCTGGGGTTGCCTGGCCCTGGGAATTCTGAGGCCCAGGAGTGCCTGGGTTTCTGTCCAGAAGGGGTCTGCATTTCCTTGGCATCAAAGGGCCTTCCCTCCAGGTGGGTCACATCCTTGATCCAGTGGTCATAGTTCTCTACCAAGGTGTAGATTCCTGGAATGTTCCTCTGTCCACAGCTCTTTCCCCAGCTGATAATGCCTACCTGGTACCACTTCTTGCCAGGTTCTGGGGTGCAGATTAGAGGTCCCCCACTGTCACCCTGTGGGCAGAGAATACAGCTCAGTAGTGAGTCTCATTCTAAACTTCCTGTCTGAGGCAAGGCACAGCCTATTAATGGAAGAGGATTCGCCAGCCTCCCTTGCTCCAGATTGCTGGACGGAACCACAAGAATGCTGACCCAGGCCCACCCCATCCCAGCTCCACGGAAGGGGGTTCTTAGGCTGGCTCCGGGAGATGTGAGGTAAAGAGTGGGGTGAGGATGAGAGACCAGTGGATGCCACACCCATGGAGGGAACAGTGGACACCTGTCTTGCGAGTCTTTTTTTTTTTTGGAGAGGTTTTTTTTTTTTTTTTTTTTTTTTTTTTTTTGGGCGCTTGTGTTTTCCAG